TTTTTTTTTTTTTTTTTTTTTTTTTTTTTTTTTTTTTTTTTTTTTTTTTTTGTGCTGGGGATTGAACTCAGAACCTTGCCCTTGCAAGGCAGGTGTGGTGCCACTGAGCTAAATCCCAGCCCTCAATGTTCTCTTGATCTGATTACTTCTTAAAGTCCCCACCCTCAACACTGTTGCATCAGTGATTAAATTTTCAACACATGAACTTTTGGAAACATTCAAGCCATAGCATTTAAACCACTCTTTTTTTTTTGGTACTGGGATTAAACTTGGGTCCTTGCGCTTGTGCAGGTGGTGGAACCACTGAGCTAAATCCCCGGCTAATCACTCTTCTTGAGATCTGGTGTTTCCCTTACCTACCTGCTAAGAAGTTCTTAACATTTAGTATACATAAGGTGCATTACAGTGAGTGGGAAAATAAACATCTCTCCATGACTAAATTTCAGATCCCAGGTTATGGGTATTGGCTGAGGCTTGGAAGCTTCAGTGGACCAATAGGGATTAATATGTCAGAAAAATTATTCACTAAATGTTAAAAGAGTCATACAAAAAATAATAGATAGCTATTTACCCAGCAGAATGATATATCCGTTACATAACTGCAACATTTTCTATTTAAGACAATTTCAGAATGCTACCAGTTTAAATTCAAGTACACCAAAAATGGACCAATCATGGACTTTGTAAGGTATTGTTCTATAATTTTCTCTATATATCACTACCACTTATTAATGTTATGTAGTTAAACTTCAGGATTAATTGTAGGGAATGGGGTACTGGGGATTGAACCCAGAGCCTTGTACATAGTGGGCAAGTACTCTCGTTGAGCTACATCCTTAGCCCTATTTTCTGAACAGAGTTTTGATAAACTGTGGCTAGCCTCAAACTTGTGATACTTCTGTCTCAGCTTCCTAAGTACTGGTTTTACAGGTGTTTGCCACCATGCCTAGCTAACTTCAGGATTAATTGTGAAGCTTCTTAAAGCCCCACTATCAGGATGTAGCTGTCAAGCTAGGCGTGGTGGCAGACACCTGTTAAACCAGCACTCAGGAGGCTGAGGCAGGAAGATCACTGTGAGTCTGAGAGCAGCTCCATAATGAGTTCCAGGACAGTCTCAACTAAATAGTGAGACCCTCTCTCAGAAAGCCAAAAAAAAAGATGTAGCTGTCAAAATAGAGTGCCTTGGGACAGGGATTTAGCTTAGTGGTTCTACCGCCTGCCTCCCAAGTGCAAGGTCCCTGGAGTTCAATCTAAAAAAAAAAAAAAAAAGAGAGTGCCTTGGAGTAGCTACAAGATAGGATTCTGTGGCTAATTACTGTATATACTATTTTAATTGTGGAAAAGGACTTTGGCTTCTTTAAACACCTATGTAGAGCCAGGTGTGGTGGCACACACCTGTAATACCAACACTCGGGAGGCTGAGGCAGGAGGATCTCTGTGAGTTTGAGACCAGCCTGGGCTACATAGTGAGTTCCAGGTCAGTCTCAACTACATAGTGAGACCCTGTCTCAAAAAAACACCTTATGTAAATATATTATTTATATAAAATTAAGTTTTGGTTTATTGTAATATGCATTAATAGTAATGTTAAAAATTTACAGTGGTAACAAAACAATTTAATGTTATAATCTCAAAGTGTAAATTTGATACTAAAATAACCATTTTTATGAAAAAAATTGTCTGATTCTCTTCTAGTAAAAATCAAAGCAATAAATCTAGCATGTCAGCTGCTGACACCAAGAAAGCAAGTATTCTCCTCATTCGAAAAATTTATATTCTGATGCAAAACCTGGGACCTTTACCAAGTGATGTTTGTTTGACCATGAAACTTTTTTACTATGATGAAGGTACTATTTGCAATATGTCTTGTTTTAATTGATACCTTTGTTTTTATTATTGAAATGGTTGATTTCCATTTTAAATATTTTTATTTAGCACTTAAAGTGTTAAAATTTTTTTAAATTATAAAGTTTGCATTTATAATGCAAATGAGAAATGAGAAAGATTTTCCAGGTGTGGTGGCACATACCTGTTATCCCAGCATTCAGGAGGCTGAGACAGGAGGATCGCTGTGAGTTCAAGACCAGCCTGGGTTACACAGTGAGTTCTAGGTCAGTCTCAACTGCATAGTGAGACCCTGTCTCAAAAAAAAACAAAAAGAAAAAAAAGAAATGAGAAAGATTTGCAAGACTTTAAAAGATATACTTCTTGGGCCAGGCAGTGGTTCCATGGACTGCCTCGAAAGCACAAGGACATGAGTTTGATCCCCAGTACCAAAAAGAAGATACACTTCTGTGGTGATGAACATATCCAGATGAAGTACAACTTTCCTCATAAAGAAATGAAACTGAGACACTAGTTTTCACTTTCAAACTGGTAAAACTTGTAAATTAAATGCCAGAGGTATGGCAAGGTAGGCACTTTAATGTACTTTTTTTGTGTGTATGGTTCTGGATATTGAATCCATGGTACTCTACCAGTGAGCTATATCCCCAGCTTTTTTAATTTTCAAAACTAGAGACAGTCTTGCTGAGTTAGTTGCCCAAACAAGACTTGAATTTGAGATCCTCTTTTCTCAGCCTCCCAAAGTGCTGGAATTATGGTCATGGACTACCTGCACCTAGCATTGATGGAATGTATATAAATGCAATATTTTTAGATAGTAATTTGGCAGTATCAAATCTTAAATTTTAATTCAGAAATTTTATTGCTAGAAAACAGTTTTGAGGATATACTTGCAAAAAAAAGTAAGAGTGTCCTTCCTTGGGGATTGAGTTAATGCACTGTGGTGCATCAATATAATAGAATAACTGCAAACTATTGCGAAGAATGGTGATAAATTGTCCAAGAGATTTTACAAATTAAGAACAACTAGGTACAGAATAGCATGATTTCACTTAAGTTTTTTAAGAACATATAGGTACTGTATTTCCCTTAACATATATATGTAATATTATACCTTTTATTACTTGTATAATATTTACTAGCACATAAAACTATGACAATAATAACTATCATTTATCAAATACTTGCTGTGTGCCACTTTTCTGAATGTTTTACACTTTAATTCAGCTTTCACACACAGTAAACCCTACGAATGTAAATATTATTAGATTCCCCATTTGACAGGAATGATAAATAATTTGCTCAAGGTTACCCAGCCAGTGAAGAAAAACAAAGGTTACCTTCATTGAATAAGATGGGGACTTGGTGATTGGAGGAGGAGGATTCTTATTTTTCAGATTATGTACTTTTCTATTCTTTGAAATAAGCTTTGTTTCTGTTTTTTCCTTCTTCAATGTTTTCCTTTCTTTCCTTTTCCTTATTCAGTTTTTTCCTTTCTTTCCTTTCGCCCACCCCCCTTCCCTAGGTCTCCTTCCCCTTTGAACATTTTCTTCCTTTTTCACATTATCTATTATACATTTTGGTCCTCATTTACACTTTCAGTTTCTCACACCAGAGAAATTATTCAGTATTTACATATGTGTGTCCTATTTATTTGACTTAAGAATATAGCCTAAAGGTGCATCTATTTAGCTATAAATGTCTCAAGTTTATATTTCTTTATGACTGAGTAGTATATTCTTTTAAATTTATTCTGCGTGTGGTTTTATAATTATAATACAGTTCATTCACTTTTATAAGCAACACAATTTATACTTCCTTCCTTCGTTTATTTATTTATTTATTTTTGGTGTCAGGGATTGAACTCTGGTCCTTCTGCTTCCGAGGCAGGCAGCGGAACCACTGAGCTAAATCCCTGGCCCTATACTTCCTTTGTTGCAGTTACACCCCCAGATTACCAGCCTCCTGGTTTTAAGGATGGTGATTCTGAAGGAGTCATATTTGAAGGGAGCCCTATGTACTTAAATGTGGGAGAAGTCCCAACACCTTTTCATACCTTCAAAGTGAAAGTGACCACTGATAAAGAACGAATGGAAAATATTGATTCAGCTATACTACTATCAAAACAATTAAAAACACCGCTTCAGAAAATCCTGGCGGACAAAGATGATGTAGAAGATGAACCACATTATATAAGTGTGAGTGTATTTAAAGAGTTGTAAATACCATAGTAACAAGTGCTTGATTTAATTCTGAGAACTTTAATAGCTGTGGTTAATATTTGTGTAAATACTGTATTCTAATCATAACCTCAAGGTTAAAGTGGATCTTAAAGAAAGTCTAGGCTTATAGTTTTACAACTTTTTACTTTCATTGAAACAATATACTCATTTTTAAAATTACGACTATTCTTACTGAAGCAAGGAATGGTCGTAGAAGCCTAACCACTTATCACCTCACTCTCATAGTGGACTCTGAAGACTCAAAAGACTGTAGGGCATAATTTCAATACCATTGAACTAGTCCAATTCCCCAACTAATGATGGAGTCCTTAATACACTACCCCAACTTAATTCTTCTACAGCCTGTATGTGAATTTCTTCAGAGCCTGGAACGTCACATTCCTGAAGCAGCCTGGAGGTTTCTGGAAGGGAGGAAAAATATCTTTTTCAATTTATAATCTTCCTATGTCTAGCACTTAGATTTAGTTTGCATTTTCATTGGTGACTAGTGAGTGGGAGAATAGAAGTAGGAAAGAGTATTTTTGGTTCCCTCCTTCCCAGAAAATGTGAAAGTCATGGTTTTAATCTTTCAGCTTTAACATGATACCCCTTTAATCTCACTTTTTTGTTTTCTTTTGTCTCATTTTATTCTAAATTAGAATGTACATAGAGGTTCACTATTCTGAACTAGGCTCTCTGGTCACGATTTTACTAAAGAAAATTTAATATTCAACCAATTCCATCAGAGAGGAAAACTTTCCTAGAATCTTAAGTCCTAGCCTTATTTTATAAACAAATATAGTGGGACTTTTGTAACATTCTTTATTTGAATATCTTTCACATATAAGTAGTCACACAGACAACAATAAATTATAATTGGGATTTTAAATCTCTTGCTATTTCTACCATACCATGACAGAGCCTATCCATCATTAACTTCCTTATAAAGGGGTGGGCTTAGTCAGAGTGTGTGCTAACACACAGAAATTCCAGAAGTGTAAAAGTGGTAGTTTATGGGCTGGGAATGTATCTCAGTGACAGAGCACTTGTCTAAAATGCACTCGGTCCAGAGGTTGATCCCCAGCACTCTCAGAAAATGATGAAGTAGCTGGGTGTGGTGGCACACGCCTATGATCCCAGTACTCCAGGCCTGAAGCGGAAAGATCACCTGAGTTTGAGGCTAACCTGGGCTACATAGTGAATTCAAGGTCAGCCTGAGCTATATAGAGAGACCCTGTCTCAAAAATAAATATTTAGCTGGGTGTGGTGGTGCATGCCTGTAATCCTAGCACTTGGGAGGCTGAGGCAGGAGGATCCCTGTGAGTTTGAGACCAGCCTGGGCTACATAGTGAGTTCCAGGTCAGTCTCAACTACACAGTAAGACCCTGTCTCAAAAAAACCAAACAAAATAAATTACTAAAAATCGGGAAAAGAGAGAAAAGAAGGGAGGGAAAGAAAGAAGTGATAGTATGTTGTATGAACATGTTTGCCATCAGACAGTCATAAAATCTAAAGATTCTTAGAATTATGCATTTTAGAGAAAGTTGTATATTTTTTTATTATTTGTCCTTAAAATAGCCCTACAAGGTAGAGAAAAGTCATTTATATTTTATTTGGATAAATATGTTGTGTTGTAATATCAGTTCTAGGACTACTTTTAAATCTAGCAAGCATTGGCCGGGGATTTAGCTCAGTAGTTCTGCCGTGTGCCTTGCAAGTGCAAGGTCCTGAGTTTGATCCCCAGTACAAAAAAAAAGTGTAGCAAGCATCAAATAGTTGTAGTTGTATATGTAAGCTTTACATGAAATAAATTTGTTCAAAAATACTTCTACCTTGATTTTTTTCAATGTGTCCCTTTTTTTCTCAATTATGTAGGATGACTTTGATGTTGAAACTAAGATGAAAGAACAGAAAAGAAACTTGGGAGCTTCTAAAATTGGAGGTAAGAAAAGTTAACAAAAATACAGATTAGCCAGGCTTGATGGTGCATGCCTGTAATCCCAACATCCAGGAGGCTGAGGCAGGAAGGTCACTGTGAGTTCCAGGCCAGTCTGAGCTGCATAGTGGGTTCAAGGCCAGCCTGAACTTCATAGCAAGACCCTGTCTCAAAAAAAAAAAAAAAAATTATATGTGTGTGTATAGATTAACTACCAATTCAATTTTATACCACTTTAACATTTTTTTCACAGAACCAAATTTAATGATTGAGGAAGATGGAATTATGAGGTGTAAAGAGTGTCCGAATCTTTCAGTTTCTCATCTTCAGGTATAAACTTGATATTTTCACCTGACTTTTTTTTGTGTGTGTGTGTGTACCGGAGATCGAACTCAGGACCTTGTACTTGGGAGGCAGGTGGGTGAAATCACTGAGCTAAATTCCTGGCCCTAGTTTTCAGATTTTAAAATTTTAGATCTTTTAGAATAAAATTAAGTAATTAGGATGTTCATTAGTAACAAAAACTGGCTGTTATACGTTGAAAACTTTTGAGCATATTTACTGTGAATTTGTTTAGTAAACCTAAATATTATTCGTAGAATCTCAGAATTTCAGAGCTCAGCTGGGTATTGTGGCACATGCTTGTAATCCCAGCATTCCGATGGCTGAGGCAGGAGGATCACCATCACCATGAGGTCGAGACCAGCCTGGGCTACACAGTGAGTTCAAGGCCAGCCTGCACTACATAGTGAAACCCTATCTCAAAAAGACAACAACAACAAAAAAGAATTTTAGAGCTCAGTAAAATCCTACACAATTACTTATTACACCCTGCTTTGTGTTTACAGATGTGGCTTATAATACATTTTTGTTGTCTCAGAGTAGAATATGGTTTTGTTTTACACGTACAATAGTAATATTATTTTGTTTTGTTTGGGGTTCTTTTGGTACCGGGGATTGAACTCAGGACCTTGTGTTTGTGAAGCAGGTGGTGGAACCACTGAGCTAAACCCCCGGCCCTAACAGTAAAATTATTGAAATAATACATAATGTGATCTTGAAAATAATGGAATTGATGATTGATGACCACATTCCTCTGCCCAGCCCCTTTCTCAAATGGAGTGAGCTGACATTTGTATCTTGTAGAAGAGTAATGCCTAGTGATCATTTGTGTGTCGGTTCAGTAATTAGTCAGCTGTGTACAGTGTCGTTTTGGTATCTTCTGTGCTTTTTTTATGACAGTATAAGAACCAACTCAAAATTACTGGTTTTCATTAACAATATAAGAAGATCCTAAATTTTATATGATTTAATGTTTTGTTTGTTTTGAGACAGGGTCCTACTTTGTAGTTAGGGTGGTTTGGACTCATTAACTATATAGCCCAAACTGCCTTGAATTCATGATAATCCTCCTGCCTCAGTCTCCTGCATGCTGCAATTACAAGGGTGTGCCACAGTGCCCAACTATGATTTAATTTTTAAATCCCATTTATTGTGTTGTGAAAAAGTTTCATGGTTTTATGTAGTTATTTTCTTTTCTAGGTTGAACAGTTAGTCAATAAAACATCTGAACTTGATGTATCTGAAAGCAAAACACGAAGTGGAAAAATCTTTCAGAATAAAATGGTAAATATCACTTAGGTTTGTGTTCCATTATAACCAAAGTACCTGTAACGTGTCAGGTACTTTATTAGGAGCTGAGGATATAATCTAGTTAACATGTAATTCCTAATCTTAACAAAAAGTTTGGTAACCAAAAGTAAATAAGCAGTGATATAGAGGAACTATAAAAACATGGATAGGCTGCCTAGAGACACAGGGGAAAGAATTTTACTAGAGCTTCATTAAAGAGAGGAATCCACAAAAAGCTTTCAGAAGAGATATTTAAATTCTCAAGAAAATTTCCTAGAATACCACAATGTTGCTGTCTTGTTGATTATCTTGTTAATAAGACATTACAAATTGATTTTTGTATATCTTCCATAAAATGAATTTTATGTTTTTAAGTTAATCAGTTTTATTTTTTGATGTTATACTAACTATAAATTCATATTTTATTTTAGACGTTTAAGTTACTCTCAAAGGCTCAGGGGTGAAGAAACAGCATTCTGTAAAATATAAAATATTATGTTCCAAAACTAAGAAATAAATATCTCACTCTGTCAGTGGTATACTAGAACATTTCTTCCCAAATCTTCATTGAAGAACATCATATTGGGCTGGGGATTTAGCTCAGTGGTTCCACCACCTGCCTTACAAGCACAAGAGCCCGAGTTCGATCCACAGTACAAAAAAAAAAAAAAAGATTGAAATTGAATGTAGAATCAACAAGACAGAAATCAACAAATACCTTAAGGGTGTGTTTCTCCCACAGAGCTGCTTTTAAACATTTACCAGAACATAGTTGATTATAGTGCCATTTATATGGTGTCTTTTTAGCCTCACAATCTCTGGGAAGTTAGAACTGGCAGAAAAATAGTGTTTAGACTAGTATGATGGTAAAAGAGATAAAGAAATGTCAAAAATTAGTAACTACAGCAGTAAAATGTCCTTTCTTGCCAGCTTCCATATAGGATGAGTATTCTTTACTAAAATAGAGGGAGAGAGGCAAACATTTTAAACAGTAATTAGGAAGATTTCTTTGTAATATAACATTATGCTTTGGAGCTGGTATAGTGACACACACTTGTAAACCTAGCTGCTTAGGAGGCTGAGGCAGGTGAATCACAAATTCAAGATCAATCTGGATAATTTATCAAGATGTATCAAAATTAAGAAAAAAAATTTCAGGTAAAATAGCTTGATGTGACTAAAACTAGAGGTTCCATCTGACTCAGCTATACCTCTTCTTGGTATCTTCCTGAAAGAACTCAAAGCCTCATCCCACAGCGATATATTCACACCCATGTTTAACAGTTTTAATAGCTAAATCTGGGAAGCGGGCCAGATGCCCATCAACTGACAAGTGCATAAAGAAAATGTGTTTGTTTTTTTTATATATATATATATATATACAATGGAGTACTGCTCTGCCATAAAGAAGGATGCACTTCAGACATTTATAGCTAAATGGCTGGACCCTGAGACCACACTCCTAAGTGAAATAAACCTGACACACATGTGTAAATATCATACTGTTTCTCTGATGTGAGAAGCCAAAAGTGGAAATAAGAACTGAAAATTTTTTTTAAAAGAAATAAGGACTGAAATGTATAATGGATATTGGAAAATGGGAAGAAAGTGTTCACATGGGAAGGCAAACGAGGGAGGGAGGTGGGAAAGGACAAGAAAAAAGTGAAAATAGAAGGAAAAATGGAAACAAAGCTTTTGTACATAGGGAGGGGAGGGGTTCTGAGAGGGAGTGGGATAAAATTATATATTTTTTTAAAGTAGCTAAGGGGTAGGGGAAGTAGGAAGAGTAGGGGAAAGGAAAAAGGGACAAGAAAAATATGAGAAAAGGAAAAAATGGAAACAAAGTCTTCGTAAATACGGAGGGTAGAGGAGGAAAAGGGAGGGCAGGGGTATGGGGAAAAAAATGAGAACCGAGATCTGTCATGTAAGGGTACAAGATCTCACACACACATATATATATACATACATACATACAGATAAGGGGCCAGGGATTTAGCTCAGTGGTGCCACCACCTGCCTCACAAGCTCAAGGTCCCAATTCCATCCCCAGTACAAAAAAAAAGTAGCTAAGTGTGACATCCTATATTCAATCCCCAGGACTGGGAAGAAAAAAAAAAAAGATAAAAGATACTTTGAGGACATAACTTTATTTCTGAAATTTCACCTTTTATTTTATTTTATTGAATGGCCGGGGATTCAGTTCAGTGGTTCTGCTGCTGGCCTCACAAGCACAAGGTCCTGAATTCGATTCCCAGTACCAATAAAAGCCACCTGCCTTGCAAGAGCAAGGACCCGAGTTCGTTCCCCAGTACGTAAAAAAAAAAAAGAAATATTTTCTTTTACTGGTTCCAGGAATCAAACTCAGGACCTTGTGCTTGCGAGGCAGGTATCAGAACCACTGAGCTGAATCCCCAGCCCTTCACATTTTAAATATGAGCTTCAGATTTTGAGAATTGTGTCTGAATTAT